CATGCCCCTTTCAGTATTCTATGGCAGAACCAGAATTCAAAGGCAACAATTTGTCTGCTGTTTTTCTTATTCATTGTCCAGCTTTCCCCTGCACATGTGGTGCCTCCAGAAAGACAGAAGAGCCTAACCTTCCATGGTGGCAGGAAACACGTGCAACTCTGGCACTGTCGTGGTGAAGCACGTGACTGCTAATCTGAGCGTGGAGGTTTGGGCCCACCCGCCACACCATAGGAGAAAGATGTAACCATCAAATTTCTTAAAGATTACAGCTTTAGGAGCCCTGTGAGGCAGTTCTACTCTGTCCTGCAGGACAAGGTCACCATGAGTCGGAATTGACTGGGTGACAAGAGGTTTTATAAAGATACTATTTAAAACATGGTGGTACGGTTGATTGGAAGTTCCTCAAAGGAAAATAATTTGAGGGAGACCAGGGGTAGGGTGGGAAATAAGACAGAGTTCTTTGGATGTTAAAGTAGAACTCTATAAAGTTTTACGATTTTAAGTCTGCTTTTGGCACCAAAATCTTATTGGAGGAGGAGGAGGAACTGCCTCAAATTTTAAGGAGAAATAGCCCTGTGTTATTTTAACTTGGTAGTACCATTGACCTTCCTGGTACATTTTTTTCTACCCCTTTCTGAAGTGCAATTTCTTTCTATATGCTCCGGTGTGTCGTTTCACAGTTCCATGGCTGAACTCTAAAAGAATTTTGGGACAATATTTATTGGCAGATTAACTTGTATTCATGTCAAAAGGGAGGGTGAAGGCAGACACTAGCTCCTGTTTTTTATGGGAGGCGCCATCCAGTCCATTCTAGCCCACCGGGGGCTTGTGTACAGCAGCACAACCCTGCCCTGTGCATCCTCACAATGCTTGTTGTGTTTGAGCCCAGTGATTCAGCCACGGTAGAGGTCCATCTTGTCAGGGGCTTCCTCTCTTTCACTGCCCTTTACTTTACCAGGCATGATGTCCTTCCCAGGGACGTCCTGAAAACATGTCAAACGTGTGTAAGACCAAGTCTCAACTTCCTTGCTGCTGAGAGCATTTGGGCTGTACATCTTCCAAGAGAGATTTGTTTCTTCTTTGGTCAATGGTACTTCTAGTATTGTTCAATACTATGAGAAACTTACTCTGATTTAAAATGGAAAGGATAGATCAGAGATAAAAAAATATCTGCATAAATACAATGCCTTAGAATTTAAAAATATAATCAGTACAAAAATTCTAATTTCTGAAGCTAGTTCCCTCGTTGTATTCCATTTATTCTTAGTAGGAGAAGGGGCATACATTTGACTTCTCCTTAGCTACATAATCTTAGAGATGCACCAGATAATAAAATCTAATTTACTTACTATTATTTGTTACACATATTAGAGGCCTGCATATTTGCACAAACATGTGGTTGTTTACAAGCAGGCAATGGCACTTTTTGTCACATAGATATGATTTAGAGCAGCTCTGCCCAATCTTAAACATTGTTTTACTAAGTCGGTTGTATCATCTGGAAGTACGTGTCCCTGATTGAGTTCAGCGTGGACTCCTCACATCATTTGCATCTGAGCACCGCAGCCAAGTGAGGCTGAGAGCTCCACTCTTCGGGGCCTCTGTTTTGGAGTTTTCCCTCTACCGTGTTGACTTTGGAAAGACTGCAGAATGCTAAGAAAGAAGAGCAAAGTATTGAGGGCATCAATTTGTAGCATATTTCACTCTCCGCCATCAAGTAAAAGGAAATCACTTGCTCAAGATCCGAGTTATACTCGGACCAATGTTTGGGAATGAAAGCCCCTGAAGTGACACTTATCATCATTTCCATCGTCACCTGCATATCAGATATGCAAAAGTACTGCCAAGACCCAAATCTAACCCAAGTGAAGAAAAGGTAAGCCCAAGGCCACGGTTCTTCTTCCCGCAATCACAGGGTCTTCTAGTGTCTGCTTCTCCCGCCCCACCCCTGTTTAGGCCATAATCCAGGGGTTGTAGCTTTCCCCTCTCCTTGTTTTGTAACTTCCCCAGCCCATGAACAACTGAAAGTGCCTGTCAACCAATTACATCCCTTATACAATTTTGCTTCCTCATACAACAGATGATTGTTTAAGTCTGTTTGCTTATTGAACTGATTTCCTGTTTAGCAGGTTGGATAGGGCATTTTGGTTTGTATTTGTGGGCAGATTCTGAAAATCCATTAGAATCAGTAACATAGAATGTGAAGATGAGGTTCAAACCCAGTATTTTATACTCCTTACTCCCTGGGAGAGTGGATAGGCCTTTAGAGGACTGATCTAAGGGGGGTGAAATGTAGAAGAGAAGATTTCCCTTCCTCTGTGACTTGTCCCTTAGCATAGGCCAGGCCAGCCTTCAAGCAGTGTCTTCCCTCCATCCCTTGCTCTACAACCTCTTTTTGAGTCTTCAGGATGATTCTGCATTCTTAAACACTAAGATTTCATTTGTATTTTTACTGCTTCTTTTTTCTTCTACTTTCTTTGAATCTTCAAGTTTCATCTTTTCCCAATAAAACCTTTGGAATAGTTCCTTTTTTTTCTTCTCAAGTTTAAAACAGTCTTTTCTACCTTGAAATGTAGTTGACTTCCTATCTATTTCTGGAATGACACGATGCCCTCTATTTATTTTATCATGGTCTTCCCTATAAATCGATATTTCTGGTTCCCTGTTTCCAGTCTTGCAGGTTTGCCTTCCTTTGGACACTTCTGTATCTGGGTTGATCTTCACATGGTGTTGTCAAGCGTGTTCATTTTAGGTTGTGTCTGCTATTACTGTTTCTCTGTCCAAGAACTGCTATTAGCCTTTTTTACAGCATCGTTCTGATTTTTTTTAAATCTTCTAATTTCTGTTTATTTGGAAATGTTCTAACTACACTATCTTATCTGAGGAAATAATTTCTGGGTATATGATTCCTGGTTAGCAGTTTTTTGTGTGCTTTCAGAGTTGTAGATATCTTATTCTACTGCCTTCTTGCTTGCAGGGTGTCTGTTGATAAATCAGAGCTAAATCTTATTGGCTCCTCATTGTCGGTAACTTCCCGGGTTTTACCAAGCTGTTGTTAGGATTTTCCTTGTCTCGGGTTTGCAAAGTCTGATTTGATATGTCTTGGTAGTTTTCCTTTGGGGTCTGTCCTATTTGGAGTTCATTCGCTTCTTGAATGTCTATTGTGTTGTGTTTCATGATGTCAGAGAAGTATTTCTTCCAACAACTCTGCAACAACTTTCTCAGTGCCTTTTATAGTCTCTTCTTGTTCTGGAATTCTGGCCACATGTAAATGATTCCTCCAGGCTTTGTTTTAATTGTTCTAGAAGGTTACTAATGAGAGAATTGTCTTCATTCTCACTGATGTGGCCTTCTACTGATTCTGCTCTACTCCTTTGCCCTTGAAATGCGTTAGAGATTTTTGAAATCTTAGTGTTCATATTCAAGATTTCTGTTTGTCACCTCTCTGTGTTTCTAATTTTCATGGATCAGTTTGGTCTTGAAGTAGTTTCTTGATTCTTCTGTCTAAAGTTTTCACTGTGTTTTCCTTGCTTTTTAAAAAATCATTTTATTAGGGCTCATACAACTCTGATCATAATCCATACATACATCAATTGTATCAAGCACATTTGTACATTCGTTACCCTCTTACCCTCATCATTCTCAAAACATTTGCTCTCCACGTAAGCCCTTGGGATCAGCTCCTCATTTTCCCCGCTCCCTCCCCCCTCCCCTCTCCCTCATGAACCCTTGATAATTTATAAATTATTATTTTGTCATATCTTACACTGTCTGACATCTTCCTTGTTTCCTTGCTTTTATCTGCAGCTTTCTCACTCTGTCTCTCAACCCACTGAAGGCATCTAATACCATTCTTTTAAATTTATTATCAGGTAGTTCCTATGCCCTTTCTTCATGAGAAATCTTTCTGTATGTTGATCACTTGTTTGAACCACTTTGTCTTGTTTCACTGTGTGAACTGAAATTGTTGTCTCCTAGACATTATGGTGGTAGTGTATGTAATCAATGATTGTATATTCATTTGAACTTTGGCAATCATCCCGTCTCCTGGTGGATGTAAAAATGATTGTGAGTGTGTGAGAAGTGCTTTGTTTGTTATTCGTGTAGCACAGTTAGGAGAAGGTTTGCTGGTTTGGGCAGCTGCCTGTCAATGATCAAGTGGTACCCAGATGGGCATTGGCCCTAGAGGATGACTAGATTAGAAAATTCCTGAGAAATTCAGGCACATCTGTCTTTAAACGTACAGATAAGGCATGCCATGGTCTGAGTTATGTAATATCAAGAGTAGGGAAGGACACATATTTCAGTGACTTCTTATCTGAGATGTTGCTCTCAGTGCAGGCAGCCTAGGAAACTCGATGAACGAGTTCTCCTCTGCCGGATGGGCTGCTGTACACCGCCACTTGCCTGAATGGCAGCTAACAGCAGCAAACAACGCTGTTAAAACAACTTTTGGGATGTTTTGCCAAAAGTCATTCAAGTATACTTATAAGGAAATGGGAATAACCGAAGATAAGAGTAGTGGAGTGAGAAATTGAAGCAAACTTCTTGGACAGTGAAGGGGAGGTTGCTTCCAAAACAAATGTTAGATTTTGCAGGTACTGGGAGTGATCATAAACATCCAGACAGTTTTACAATATGGAAATGTTTATTTATTTTTACTTCTAAATTATATGAAGATTTTACATAACTTTTGATGAAAGGAATATAAGGAAAATGGTAAATGCATTTTAAATGGACTTTTTTTCAGCTTGAATTTTATATTAAGTCATCATTAATGCTGAGAATAGACAAAGGCAGAATCAAATCCATTTGTAATTGTCTAGTTCTAGTTGAATCTTTGTAATCGTGTTACCAGATCAAAGCTACTCCTCTATTTACAGTATTGTATGATTCATACTTAGAATGTAAACATTTTTAAATGAAAACATGTAGTATATGATATTTCTCTTTCAAAACATTTCAGACGATTTGAATATTGATTTCTTCTTTTACCACAGGCTTATTTATATTTATCTTCCATTGTGCTATGAAAGAGAATGTTCAGAAACAGTGGAGGCGACATCTCTGCTGTGGGAGATTCCGGTTAGCAGACAACTCAGGTAAAGGACATGTTCCTGTGTTTTCATAGATAAAAATGTTCTAAACCTTTCCCATGTAGTCTTTTTTTTTGTTAGAGAAATCTAGTACCAGTGGTAGCAGATTATAAAATTGAAGCATGCAGAGATGCTTCCTTGAGCTCCTAGAATGGTAAGAGTAGAAGAGATGTGAGGACTTTGGGCCCAGCCTTCCTATTCCACAAAGGAGATTCATGAATTGCACCAAGGTTGCGTGACTTCCTCATAGTTTTTTGTCTGATTTAATATCTCAGCTATCTAGAGATTCCACTCTACTGTGCCCATGTTTTCAGGGTTTTGACATCCTCAGTTGCATTATCAGGCAGAGTTTTCTCAATGCTATAGCTGTTAGGGAGGGTTGAGTTGGTTTCAGTGTAAAATCTATTAATTACTTATTGTGCTTACATGGCTAAGGGTTTTTTTGCTGTGTTTTATTTTGGTTTGTCTTTTTACCTATCGTGGTTGTTTTTTCTCAATTAAAGTGGGATTGTATACAACATGTACAGCATTAAGGAAACTTGTCTATTTCTTCAGTCTATCTTTATATTTCAGTGTCTTCTCTAAGTCATTGAAATCGGAATATCAAATGCTCCAAATAAGTTACGTAAATGGTACAGCGATGTCATTTTAAAGCAGAGCATATTCCCTTGTGGAGCATATTGATAAGAGAGCTATGTCATTTCTTTCAGATTGGAGTAAGACAGCAACCAATATCATCAAGAAAGGTTCTGATAATCTAGGGAAATCGTTATCTTCAAGCTCTATTGGTTCCAGCTCCACCTACCTTACATCCAAATCTAAATCCAGTTCTACCACCTACTTCAAGAGGAACAGTCACACTGGTGAGTCATGGCAGCCCAAGGAAAGGTCTTCTCTCATGTGATCACATGTTCATTGAGAACACTGGCTTATCATGAAAATTAATGAAGCAGAGTGCCCAGTACCCTATATCGGGCTTATTTTAAGATTTTTTTCCAGAACTTTGTGAATATTTTATGTATTTATTTATATCATCAACTCTAGTGCTTTTATATATAAGATCATCATTTGATACCAAGCCCAATTTTCTGAAGAAATTATAATATTTTAATTGTTTTTTGTAATCCTAAAGATACAGAGATTGAGCTGTCAGTTATTTTAGCCATTTACTATGACAAGTTTTGAAACTGAGCATGTTTTTGAAATCAAGATTTGAAGCCTATCTCTCTTTTTTTTGTTATTGTTGTAGTATTTGGTAGCCAGTAAACAGCATACTCGTTTAAATTACTTCAAAGAGAAAAGTAGAATCACTATTTTAAAATTCTAAATAAACTTTAACAGGTAACTGCCTATATGTAAAATACAACACTTAACTAATTGAAACTTATTCCAAAGGAAAAATCGGTATGAGAAAATATATTTGGCCAGAAAATATGAGCATAAATGAATGGCACAAAAAGGGTTAATATTTGATGTTCTGGTAACAAAAATATGAGGCAGTGTGATGTGTAAATGTCCATAAATACCCAAATTGCAAACACATAACCTGTAAATGAACCTCATGGACATTTGAATTCTCATATACAACCAACCCACTAGAAGGAAAGTTATCAAGTGTCTTACAAAATAAGGGACAGCCTTTGAGCTATGTATGTACTCACTTTTGCCTAAATTAAGAGATCTACATACCCTTGCTTAAGGATACCTGTTATAAGAAAATTGATGGCAAGTACATTATTCTATTTTACAATGGTCTAAGGGAGATTATTTTATCAATTTGGCAGTTCTCGGGCACAAAATAGCCTATTCTTACAATGCATGATATTTGTTTGCTTTATCTTTAATTCAACCTAAAATCAGATGCTTGTTTGGACACATTGCCAATCAATTATAAATGAATGGGAGTGCGGCTGTGAAGTGGGGAAGGAAATCATAAGGCAGATTATTTGGAATGTGGGGAGCTTTGGAATAATGAAGAAATTTGACTAGGAGATAAAAGAAAAAATGCAGAAATTAAAGTATCAAAAGTAAATGTTACTATTTCAAAATTATTTACATATGTATGTGTGTACGTATATATATGTATACATGCTCTGTGTGTGTGTGTGTGTGTAATTCTTCTCTTTCTCATATAGCAAGCACCTGGGGCTAAATGGGTTCTTGTCAACCAGCCTCGGGATATTGTCAACTTTATCGCTTTATTTCTGTGGGATAATAAATTGTGGTTTTCAGTCATTGAATGTCCGAGTGGCCTTCTGGTACCCAGCCGGGTATCAGGGGACTGCTGGCCTCCTTGGAGCCGTGGGAAGTTGTAAAACTCACTGCCTAGCACCATGATTATCTAGTTGGTGTATTTCCTCGAATTGACTTAGACATTCATGTGTTTACGGTGTAGATAATGTCTCCTAAGTGCATTCCCTCAACAAAGGTGGATTGTCCAGGTAAACTTTCATTGCCTTTTTTGAATGCATGATTTTTCCACAAGGTTAAAGAGAATCTGCATGGATTAAGCTAAGTCTCCTGCTGCACCAGCAAAATTGCTTGTTCTCAATGAGATTTCTCAGCTAGCGCCATGATATTCTGACACTGAAATGGAATTTTTGATCTGGCAAATGGTAGTGTGCTGTGTTGGCTCTTGTCTGCATGGGGTGTCTGCAAGCAGCTCCTTCTAAGAAATGTACCATGCTCTGGAGTAGGGGTCACCTGCCAAGTAAAAGAATAGCATACAGAAAACAGTGTTTGCAGAAAGGTTCATTATAGGGATACGTAACATTACTTACTTTCCACTGCTGTTACGATGACTGGATGTGTCATGGTACATTCATAGAAGTCATAAAAGAGACATTCCAAGCCTGCTTTTTGAAGATTTCTATCTGCTTGAAATTTCAGCATAGGTCAAATGGTGGTTCATTTCCCTAGCCTCTGGTTTTCAATCTCCCAGCTATAATAAAAATCAGTATTACCCATAATTTAATGTCTCACACGACTGAGAATGCCATATATGTGGAAATATAGTCCTGGTTCAGACTTTTACTTTATTAGACTGCGAAGACTCATAAACTTGGATCACATCGATGGAATGGAATGAGAGAAAAATCTCTGAGAGCACATGCCCCTGGAAATTGTCCATGAAGACAAGTGAATAATACAATCCTCGATGTTGCTGAGCATGTGTGTGTCTAAAAAATATATACATAAACAATGACTTGTTCATTGTAAAGATTTAAGTCCATGAAAAAATTCCCAAGAGAAAACCAATGGCTAGAGACTATATGAACTGGAAGAAAGCACAGAATCGATCCGCTTGCTGGGAGCCAAGTGGGGAGGGGGCTTTATATTCTGCCTCCCTGACCATTCTTCTCACCAGCACTGGGACCTAATCGTTCTTCTATGTTTCAGTCTGCCCATTATTTCCATGAGTCATCGGATGTTCCTCTCTCTTGCTTCCTTTAGTATGGGATCAGAGCGCTCTTTTCTATTCTAGTCTTCGTTTTATTTAGTCCGCTGCAGAACAAGACAGCAGCGGAGCAACTGGGATAGCGTCCAAAGACACCAGACACAGTGCTGGTGGCTCTAGGCAATTGCGGTTGGATTTTTAATATTACATCACATACTAGATTCCACTGACTTGAACTTTAAAAGGCTGGACTGAACATTACAAATGTTGGAGTTATTTGGGTCCATTAAGCAGCCTCTCAATATAGAGTTTTCTTTCTACCTCTTCTCGACTGAATAGAGAGACTATGATTAGAGGAGCGAGTACTTTGAGAAGGTCATGTTTGCTCTGCCATCCGTGTGAAATCTTTATGGATAATGCAAGGGTATTTTCTTCCAAAGTATTCGGAGAAGAAAGACAGGTACTTATAAGATACTTTTAGGGGACATAAAGACAATCATTCATGAGGTTTGTAGTGGCTACTCCATCAAAAGTGGACTGCCTTTTCCTTCTTCCCGGTCTGTTCTTAGCCTAGGATCTCCTCTGGGATCTCTGCATACTGAGTGACCCTGCTGGCATTTGAAATACCAGTGGCACATCTTCCAGCATCACAGCAACACCCGAGCCACCACAGTATGACAAACTGGCAGATGAGTGATATTTTCAATCACCTGATATGCCTGGGAAAGCTGGACAATGAATAAGGAAGATGATAGCACAATTCATTCCATTGAATTAAGGTGTTGGCAAAGAACATTAAAGTACTGTGGACTGCTAGCAGAACAAGTCCATTTGGCGTGCAATAAATACATCCAGAATGCTCCTTAAAAGGAAAGATGTTGACACTTTGTCTGACATACTCTGGAAATGTTATCAGAAGAGACCAGCCCCTGAAAAAGGACGGCATGCTGAGGGAAGTAGAGAGTGAGCAAAAACTTGGAAAGCCCTTGACCAGGTGGATTGTCCCTGTGGCTGCAACCATGGGCTCAAAGAAACATAACAACAATTGGGAAGAAGGTTCAGGGCCAGGCAGCATTTCATCCTGTTGTGCAAAGGGTCACTCTGTGTGAGAACTGATTCAATGGTACTTTACAGCAACCCAGACAAAGATGGCAGGGCTTAAGCAAGCTTCAGAGCATGATCTGAACACGTTTTACGATGCTTGAGGTCTCCCAAAATAAAAAGTACTATGATACTGAAAAATTCAGGACAGGAATTTATAATTCAAGAGTTCATTATTGTAAAACCAAACCCACGGCCATTAAGTATATTTTGACTCAAAGGTACCCCATTGCACAGAGTAGAACTGCCACGTAGGGTTTCTAAGGCTATAAATCTCTACAGAAGTATATTGCCACATCTTTCTCCTATGAAGTGGCTGGTGTACCAAATCTGTTATTGCTCTTTATGCATCTCTCAGATATTAGTGTTGGGTTTAGTAATATATTGTGAGATAGTAGCTTAGTTCAGAAAACATACTTTTATATTAGAAATGTTCTCTGTGAAGATTTTAATTTCTGTGATTTAAAAGGAGCCCTGATGGCACTGTGGGTTTAGCATTGCACTGCTGACTACACAGGTGACAGTTTAAAACCCACTAGCCACTCGGGCCACTCTGTGGGAGAAAGATGGGGTTGAGTACTCCCATGAAGATTTACAGTCCAGAAACGCTAAGGAGCATGTTTGCCCTATAGAGTAAATATGAATTTGAATCAATTCAAAGGCAGTGAATATGCTTTTGTTTTCGTTTTTGGCTTTCTTTTATTTTTTTGGATGAGTTTAAAAAGTAGTTAAAAATCATTAAATGCAATAAATGTAAATGATCTCCTATACACAATCCTGCAACAGCAGTAATAAGGATAATCTACAAATGCATGCACAAACAGATACTCAAGCTGAAGAGGGATGAGAGATTGGGACTACACTCATGAATATATACTATATATGTCCATGAATATATACTACATACCATGAGTATATAGATTTAACAGGATATTTCTATAGATGAACTTAGATCTTCTGCAAATAGATCCATGATTATAGTAGGGGCAACATTATGAGATTTCTTAACTATATCCAAACCCCTTCAGGGAATGAGTTGCTAGGCTTTCGGACTTGGAACCCTAGTCTGGGAGAACATGAATATTATGTGGTAGAACATAGTCCACAAAGACAGCGTTCTACTTTCTACTTTGGTGAGTTGTTAACCATCATCTTAAAAGCTTGTCAGTGAATATCTAAGTTGCAATGATTGGCCTCACCCTGTCCACCAAAGAAGAGTTGAGAAAATTAGAGATGTCAGGAGACAATTAGTCTAAGAGCAAATGGACTCTTCAAACGTCAACCTCCATGATCCTGAACTCAGAAGAACTAATTGGTTCCAGGCCACCATTACTGACAGCTCTAAAGGGACTCATATTAGAAGGCCCTGGACAGAGGAGGAGAAAAATGTGGAAGAAAGCTCAAAATCATAACACCGATGAGACAATACCAATGCAGCCAATGGCTGAGAAGAACTGCCCCATAGAGTGTGCAAGACTATAACTCCCCAAAGAAGCCAATTGCCACATTATTTGCTAGTAGCACTGTTTGGTAGGTAGGGCTGGGTGGTGGAGTCAGAGTGGGGGAGACCAGGCTTACTGGGTTGATAGAAACTGGTAAAACCCCCAAACTATGACCCTTAGGCACCTTTCATTGCCTAGTACTGAACTCCCCACCCCCACCCCAGTGACACAACTTTGAGCCAAACAATAATGCTAGGGAAATATGCATTCATCAGAATCAACCATAAGAGATCAAAAGAGCAGCACTTGTCAGAAGCCAGGTAGGGATAGGAAATAAAGATCCATGGAAACCGTAAACACAAGAAGTAAGAGGAGTCTTGTTAGATTGTGGGGATTCCAATTAGTGTTACCAAATAAAATGTATTATGTCAATTATTGAATGGAAAATCAGTCCGTTCTGTAAATGGTCATCTAAATCAACCAAACAACCAACCTGATTACAACCTCCCTCCCCTTTCTCCCTTGCTCTCCCTCCCACTCCCATACAAAACGTGTTTAGCTATATTCCAAACAAGCTAAAAAACACAAGAAAATGAGTTCCAACTCAATTTTGTTCTCCAAAACCCTTTAAGTTTCATTTTTGTAAATATTTTGTTATGAAAATATCAAACATATGTGAAAGTAGAGATGATACTGTCATGAATCATCATATGCCCAGCCCCTTCCTCCTCTCCCTGAATTATTTTGAAAACAGGTCTCAGACTTCATGTTACTTCTTCTATAAATATTTGAGCAGATTTTAATTCATTTGTTCTCTAACCCCTTCCTCTGAGCCATTGGCTACCTATTTGTCTGTAGTAATATTCTCTCCTTGAAAACTTCATTGGCTCTTTGAAAAAAATGCCATTTACAAGTACAGTTCTTAAAACCAGCCCCAACATAAATTACTAGGAGCCAAATGAACACGTAGTGACCATGCGGAATGCATTTTCAGGATGAAAAACATGACATTTTTAGGGCTGCATGTTACCAACCTAAGAAAGAATTTCCACCCTGGTGCTCTTTAATAGGAAAATAAAGGGATGGTCTCCTTAGGCATGTCACCGGCTCTTCTTGCAGTCTAACTCTTTGTATCCTTTCTTACAGACAACGCCTCCATGGATAAGTCCTCATCAAAACTAACGCACGCTGATGGAGAACAAACCTCAATCATGCCTGTCCATCAGGTTATTGATAAAGTCAAGGATTACTGCAATGCTCATTCAGATAACTTCTATAAAAATATTATCATGTCAGACACCTTCAGTCACAGCACAAAGTTTTAACGTCTTTAATATAAAGAAAAGGACTGAGTCTGTAGAAATGTGGAGTTAGGCATGCAGTGGGGAAAATAGTGGACAGATGTAAATGTGCTATTACCTAGGGAACTGCATATCTTTGCAGAATATTTTTGTTAAAAAGTCCTTTGTCAAATGCAGAATTCACCTATCGCTACATTTCTTCTGGGTGAGGGGGGTGTGTGTGTGGGGGGGGGGAGTATTTAGCCATCTCTAAAACCTTCGTATAGAAACCTGACTGTGGCTATAGAGAAGATGAGATTTGAAAAATAGATCACTGAATCAGACTAATCAAGACTCGATGAGAAAATATTAAAAACCAAAGGACAAGGGAGATGTGAAGTTAAAGACTAATTCTAGATTAGAGCTCAATTCATCTCCCACCTAATAGTGGTTTGTCTGTAGCTCTTTTCTGCATCATCTTTCTCAACAGTAAAAAGCACACTGATATTTAAAGCCATATTTGGATATCCAGCAGGTCCACCTCAGTGTGGGTTTCTGTTTCTGCAGCAGCATGTTCTCGTTTTCAATGTAATTTCAGCAACACATAAGAAAAGAATGGTTGATGTCTGGACCCAAGGCTTAAAAAACTTTTGTTGTTATTATTATTTTGGTTTGTGTGTAAACCTTTGGTCATACCAAATGTTAAACATTCTCAACCCTAACACACGTAAGAGAGGGAGATGGTTCCTCAAATCTTGGCCTTGTTAAAATGATACTATGTGCATTTCTAATATTTCACTTGGCCTGTTTATCCCTAAAAGATCCCCAAGATGCACCAGGCTTAAAAATCATCATTCACTGTAATTTAATCCTATACATTTGAGTCAAGATTAGTGTTGCTCTTCTCCTAATGTGACCCTCCCAGTAGTTCAAGAAGGAATTTGTTCCACCTCTGCTCTAGCTGCAGTTAACATAGATTGAGCCCAAAGGCTCATGGGAGGAAGAAGTTCCACCAGATAGTCCCCTTTAGAGGCTTTATGGTCCTGTCTGTAATACACACAAAAGCCTCGGGCCCTTTCAAGAGTCCTGTCCCAAGGAATAAAGACTGAGACAGAAAGGGTATTGAACCTCATCAAAGAAGTAGTCTGATTACTGTTCTAAGAACTAGTTAAAGTCCTCTGAATGTGCTGTAAAAGAGCCTGAGGAGGACTGGTGAGGTATTTATGGTTTAGACTGCTGCATACAAGCCACGCATATTTTCATCTGCTTCCCTGGCTCTCAAACTATCCCGAGGAACGAGTTCTTGCTAGTAAATGTATAGGAGACCATATTTAGTTTTTCTTAAATGATGGAGTTGTATCCAATTTCTTAGAAATCTGTCTCAGGAGACGCTCTACATTTACTCTGAAAAAGCATCAGGTCCTAGTGGGGTAGCAGCGTCAGTGAGGAACAAATGAGACATTCTAGTCAAGCCCGTGTGTTAAAAGGCAGAGGCCAGAGATGAGCGCCTCATGACCGTTCCCTTAGCATGGAAAGTTCCACAGTCAAAGGGAGACACAGGAGAGCTGCCAGGTTCCACAGCAAGTCCAGCGGCCTATTGCTTTGCCAACATGAAGCCACTCGCCGGGTTTGGAGGGCCAATGAGATGGTGTTGATGGTGAGTTTGTGCTACCATTCCATTTTGCAGTCTGCTGGAACACCATCATGGGAGACATGATCATGGCCCAACTTGGCTTTCACAGGGAAAGGGTACACATATTCCTGAGGAGAGGACAGTAAATCTTTAAAGTCTCCAAGGCTCAGTGTAGTAGAGTCAACTCTATTTCTATAGACATATGTTAAGAGTCTACTTACTCTGCCTGAGGTTACCTGTAGATGAAAGTTAGTCTTAACTATTCACTGAATATTCATATGCTTTCTCCCAAAACCTTAGGTAGTGCTTAGTTAGCTTTCGACTGTGAACTCTGTGCTCCTAGTGCTTACTTTGTTCATAGCAATTAAGGCATAACTTCCAAAATGGCTTTGCTTTTGCCTTCTAATCATATTCAGATCTGGGACAACTCCCCCTCCATATTTGACACCAGTCTCAGTTCTGCTTTAGACATTCTCAGTAGCCACGTGTGGAGAAATGAAGATCAGCAGGATAGAAACGTGGGCAAAGGGATGCACTAGGCAACCAAATTCTGTCAGCCCAAACGAGCAGCTCTCGTTAGCATTTGGGATGGAATTCAGTGGTGAAATGACGTTTACGTTGAACCTGACTTAAGTATCAGCTCAGTGATGCTTGGAAGGTTTTAGTTGTGTTGTGGGGTTTTGTCCTTGTTTCTTCCCTTTCTCAAAGCTGTGTGGGTTAGGGTCTTCATTGAGGACCCTGCGATCGTTTCCTTCCTTGTTACCCTGGCTTACAATGTCGATTTTCTGTGTCCACCATCGGCGTAGATTCTTTTGTACATATTTATTTATTTGTGTTTATAAGTGTCAACTTGTTTCATATCGCAGCTTTGTAGCGCCTGGCTTTGTTATATTAATTGCCTTTCTACTGGAGAGACTGTATATATTTTTCTAAGGACTTGGTGAAATTGTTTTCTGTAGCAATATCTTTGAATATGGTGAATAAAAGTGACTGGGAGTACAAATTAGAATTAGTAGTAAGAAGCTATTATCGCTGATTTGCCATTTAACTTAAATGGGGGGGGAGGGTTTGTTTGGGGTTTTTTTTCACATAAAGGCTTCTGTTGTTTGATGTTCCAAATTATTAAATTCCTTTCTGAGTGAATGTTTTTGTTTCGGACTCTTCATTAGCAATATGTTACTTGACAACTGGACAATGGTTTAAGTTAGTACCATGGGACTGCATTGCCCAAACACTAGCAATAACTGTGTTACAAAGATCCATTTCACTGGGGGTTGATGCAAGTTAGGGCTCTTGGATTTTCTCAGTGTGGCTGATGGAAAGCCATGCTCTGTTGCAAATTAAAAGTAAGCCAGGTTTGGCTTTCAGGAAGCCCTCACCACCCATAAAGGAAGCAAATGGTTAACAGTACGTAGAAAGTAGGATCTGGGGGTTTTCCTGACACTTGTGGTGGCCATTTTGTTCTTCCGCAGCTTGAAATGGATAACATTTAGCCAAATTAATTTGCACGATTAGAACACAACCTCCCCTTCTTCCTTCTACTGTAGTTATTTATAATTCTTTTCTTCAGAAAGCCAAGGCCCAATTTGGCTCAGAGCCCCCATCAGCAAAGCGTATGCCCAGCGCTAAATCACGGGTCACTTTGGCTGGGCACCGTAAGTGCATCCCCTGAGCCAACCTCCACAACTCCTGGCCAAGCCACGTTCAGAAAACAAAAACAGTTGATCAGGGCACATGTACAGTCCATCAGGGCCAGTTGCTTCAGAAAGCAGTGGGAACGGTGGTGAGGTGGAGTTGGGAAATGCTTGTTTGATCTTCAGGCTGGCCATGTGTTTATAGTATTTCTGAAATCTGAAGGAACTGGGCTGTATAAATACAGTGCTTTGGAAACCCTTCTGTGTTTGGAGTTGAATGCCATTCCACTTCAATCATATGAAAGGATCTCCCCTCCTGCTCTCAGTGGTCTTCCTCTTCCCATACCACCTATCTTTTCCTCTCTCCCTCTTTCTCTCGTGGCCATTGAAGCAATTTGGACTCACAGCTACCCTGCGGGACAGGGTCGAACTCCCCCTGTGAGTTTCCAAGACTGTCAATCTTTACAAGAGCAAAGAGCCTCATCTGTCCCCTGCAGAGCCACAGGTGGTTTTGAACTCCTCAACTCGTGGTTACAGCCCAACCCTTAACCAGCTACACTACCATGTTCTCTTCATTTCTAGGATGAGTAAGTAAAACCACACTTTTTTGTTCCCTAGATAAAAATAAGGATTACCATAAAATGTTCCAATGATTCATTTGAAATTTTCAAATATTCAAATGTCATTTATGTGCTATAACTCATTGCAGTCAAATCAATTCTGATTAGCCTATCAAATGAACACAAACCCATGTAAAACACATGACATGTATTACTGCTGGCAGCTTTAACCTACACTGAGTCATTAGGACTCAGTTGTGAACAAAACAAGTTTGGGGAGCTTTTCCTTTACTTAGCTCACATAATTTTCATGACAATTCCATGAAGAAATATTATTTAAATTTACAATGGGGGAAATTGGTGCTTTAGGATGGTAAATAACTTACCTGGAATCACAGAAGAGCCCAATTCCAATCCAAGCCCACCTGTTGTATGTTCATCCTTCTACATCGAAAGTACCTCATTGACTTCAAATAGGCTTCAGCTGTGTGAGAGAAAGAAGGACCTCCACGGACCAGGATGAGAGACTCCCAGAGCTCCGGATGGGACTGTGGAGAAGCAAACGTAAGTGAGGATAAGTTCTACTAGACCCTGGTCCTCTCTTGGAGGGAAGTAAAGTCATTCTATGCGTGGAAGTTGGAAAGCGCAGGGCAAAATAGTTAAGTGAAACATAGTTGAAGGGAGCTTGACTTTAGTGTGGGAAAGAGCTTCAAAACAAACCACATTGACTGTCCAGTCAATTCCAACTCACAGCAAGCAGCCCTACCAGACAGGAGAGAACTTCCCTGTGGGCTTTCAAGACTGTATTCATGGGAGTCTAAAGTCCCGTTTTCCCCCCTCGGAGTCCCTGGAGGTTTCAAACTGCCGATCTTGGAGTGAACACACAACTCATAACCCACAATGCCACCAGGGTGCCTCTTGGGAAAGCAGTTTGTTAGGTGCCATCCAGTAGGTTCCGACCCATAGTGACCCGAGGCCCAACGGAACAAAATACCCCCCTCCTGAGCCATCCGCACAGTTGTTCCGATGCCTGAGCCCATTGTTTCAGCCACTGGGTCAGCCCATCTGGTGGAGGGCCTTCCTCGTTGTCACTGCCTCTCTACCGAGCATGATGCCCTTCTCCAGGGCCTGGGCTCTCTTGACAGCTTGTCCAACGTACATGAGACAAAGTCTCACCCTCCTTGCCTTGAAGGAGCATTCTGGTTGTAATTCTTTCAAGCCAGATTTGTTTGTTCTTTTGGCAGTCCTCGGTTCTCTTGATACTTTTTGTCAGCACCGTCATTCAAATGCATCAAAAGAAAAGTCGCCCGACTGTCGGGCTAAATAAGCAGCCACTTTCAGTTGTTGTTGACCCGCCTCTGATTCGTGGGGATCGTGTGTATCCGAGGAGAGCTGTGCTCCACAGGGCTTTCACTGGGGGATTCTTCAAAAGTACATTGCAGGCCTTTTTCTTAGGCATCTCTGGTTGTACGCTAACCTGCAGCCCTCAGCTGGCTGCCAAGCCCATGGACCATTTGTGCCACACTGGCCCATAATCATGTCTGAGAAGGAACCATATGCAAGTTAGGGTGTGGAAGGTGATCCTGACAGGCTATTCAGAACAGGTACTAGACTTGGGGCTGAACTATCTATTACAAGTCCTCAGATCAGCTCATTAAAATTTGCATTGATTTTTTGAAAAGTCATATCCAAAGCCTAGAGTTTCAAACCTGACTGGTCAATATTAAAAAAGAAAGAAAGAAAACCACTTATACATTAATGGATAATGAATAATTTCAGACATAGTTTAACTCTTTAGACTCAACATGTTCTGGATGGGGTTGGCTAATTTTCATACTGAATTCAAATGGTTTTGATATTTAAGATGTCAATTATAATAGAGTAAGTGGTATTCTCATCAACAATAGTTAATATTCATGATTCTGTGGTCACACCAGTAAGAAACAAGATAAAGAATCATTGTACTCTAGGAGCAAAAGCCTTATGTAGTGTTTCTCAAAGTGAGCAATACTGCCCTCCAGGGGGCTCTGGAAAGATCCAGAAAACCAAAAAACTCATAGCAACTTTATAGGACAGAGTAGAACTGACCCTATGAGTGTCTGAGACTATACCTACAGGAGTAGAAAGTCCCATCTTTCTCTTAAGGAGCAGGCTTGTGGTTTGGAACAGTCAACCCAGTGGAGTATAGCTCAACACATAATCACTAGGCTACCAGGGCTCATGGAAAGATCCAGTGATGGAAGAGCTACAAAAGCAGGTGCCTGTACTGTATCTTGGATTGTGGGCTGTAGTACCAAGTTCTTGATTGCCAGGGGGCACTAAGCAATTTTTCTCTGGATGGGAGAAGTAGGTCAAATAAGTTGCCACAGGCAATTGGCAGCTATGCTTAATCTGTGTTCAGTTAATTTGTTTTTTTAAGTGAATTAAAATTCATCAGTTACCTGGTCCACTTGCACCCACTGCCACCTTCCTAATTGTTGATTTACTCAGGTCCATGGTGTGGCCACTGTGTATTTTGAAGACCTTTCAACCCAGGGGGCTAATCTTCCCAGCACATTCTAGGACAATGACCTCTTGTTGACTTGTTGTAAGAAATAAATCTCCAGACCATTCTGCCTAGTCTGTTTTAACCTGGAAGCTCTGTCTAGCATGGGCGACCCTTCTTGTTTTTCAGATACTAGTGGTGGACTAGTTCCAGCATCAAAGCCACAGCAAGCTGCCACACAGTGTGGCAAGCTGACAGATGGTTGAGTGGTGGTTATCGGAGACAAAACCCAGGAAAGATCATAGACCGAGGAGGAAGGACTGACCAACAAGAGATCTGGGATTGCGCTGTAATTGTCTCATACCTGTAAGAGGGGAGCAGGCAGGAAGAAGCCTCACGTAATCTTGGCAGATCCAACAGGGGGCTCCAGCACAAAGATTGTTCATGGAAGAATACCTGGTTGGGTAGAAATGGGCAAGCCCTGGTACTCCCAGTGTGCTCAGTTATTGGCTCAGAGCTGTTTGGGGAAGAAGCTCCAAGTGGTCAAAGATTTAATGCTGTACAGATCCCAATAATTTTACTTGCAAGTTCTCCCTCAAGAAGTTGGAATGGCATAGTCTGTTGCCATGGCTCATATTCATGAAAACCCAAGATGGGTAGAAACTTTTATTCACACTGTGTAACCAGGTCCAATCCCACCATATATACTCAAATATAAGTCGACACAAATATCAGCCGAAGCACCTAATGCTACCACAAAAATTGCATTAAAGATGTGCTGGAAAACATGGCTTATACTCGAGTATATATGGTAAGTTCACCTAGGTGCACATACAACTGTTAGGCACAGGCATGACAGACACCAGGTGTATGATACCAGGACTAGTGGTGGTTGTGCCTGTTCTGACTCATAGCAACCATCTGTCAGAGTAGAACTGTGCATGATATGTTGTCTTTCTTTTTGCTTTTGAGGTGCCTCTGGTTGGATTCTAATCATCAATCTTTTAGTTAGCAATTGGGCTTTGGTTATTTGCATCACATGTAATATCTTACGCTGGAGTGTTAAATAGACAGGACAGTACTATTTAGGGATTAACTGTGAATTGCTATTATGCATACTATTCTCTACCCACATTCCTCATGTAAAATCAAGAGATGTTTTAGAAACCAGAGGTAAGCAATTGATGTCACCATGCAGAAAATATTTTTAAATGATTTCTTTCCATATCATTTAATAAATTCATGACTGTTAGGTTCTAAAGAGACTTCATTTCAGAAGAAAAATTCCAAATGTACTAGAGTTACTTTTTGTACCTCTCTGTTA